CGTTCTGAAATGCTAGCAATCCTCCCGCCTCCCCCTCGCTCTCTCTTTCCCTCTCCCTCTCTCTCTCTCCCTCCCCTCTCTCTGCTCCTCTCTCTCTCTCTCTCTCTCTCTCTCTCTCTCTCTCTCTCTCTCTTCCGCCCTCCGTGCGCATTCCGCGCGCTCCTTCTCTCGCCTCCCTTCCCCCTTTGTAGCTCGAGGTGTACATCGACTATTTCGTTGCAACCAATTTTTGAAAAGGGATTTCGCGGTCTGTACGTATAGTATAGTACGGTTGTACTACGTGCGTCCTACGCGTATTTTTTTTGCGCGCGTGCGCGCGGAGAAGTAAACAGCACGTTCTCGCCAGGTCGCCGTCGTGGCGTTCGCCGGGGCTCGCGTGACGGGCTACCGTCGTCGCCGACATGCACCGCCGTTGATTAATGCCACTCTCGCGAGTTTTACGCGGCTGTATCTGCGAGAGATTAAGAGACGCGTCTGGGAATGTTCATTGATTGCAAACCCCCGCGGACTTTGCGTAATTAAATTACGGTTGTTGCGCAACAACAACAACACAGCCGCGTCTTTACGGTTACCGCTTCTTGCGCCGCGTGTATTTGACGCGCCCGAGATTGCGTCTATCTCTGTTTCTCTCTCTCTCTCTCTCTCTCTCTCTCTCTTTCTCTCTCTCTCTTTGTCTCTCTCCCTGTAACCCCCTTCCCTTGCCCTTCTATCTCTCTCTCGGCGTTTGCCGCTCCGTCATAAAACTGAACGTCCCCCTCCGCCCCTTGAGTGCAATCGCGTCTGCTCATCGATACGAAATGAATGCGCCGCGATGCGTCTAATGAGAAACGAAAGGTGGAATTGCGAGGAGAGGAAGCGCGGTTGTGCGATATTAAACATGTTACGATTGAACGTTGCATCACGTCGGCCGGCTAATTACGGGACCGCGACTCCACGTCGCGTCGGTTACTTTTCCACCGGTCGCGCTTTTACAGTTACGTTGGCGAAGCGAAGTCTCTATCTCACGTTCATACTTCGCTTGTGTCCCTCGGTTCGTCGATTCGCGCGGGTCTTCTGCGCGACCAGGTGAGAGGTCGATCGCTCCGGATATATTCGGCTATCTTGACGGTCAAGATTATTTATAGACGTTCAATTCGGGAAGATTAAAGGTCAATTTGTGTGCGTGCACACGGAAGAATAAATTAGTAACGTAAGTTCAGTCTCGCGCGGCTGACTTGAGCGCGCAGCTGGAGCGTGAACTGTTTCGTTGTCATTGCTAAGAATTGACTACCGCAAGTCAAATATATTCTCTCTCACCGCGAGATAAATATTTGTCAGTTGAAATTAAAGCGCAAGTTACGGTAGATATGTTGTTGTGTCAATAGGATTGATCAACGTCATAATTGCAGCAAATCTTCTCGATTTAATAGCAATGCTGTTAAAACCACTGTTGATGTGTTAAATTTAACACATTTTATTTGTCCCAAAAATTGATGTGTTAAATTTAACACATTTCATTTGTCCCAAATCATCCACTTCCATTTATGCGTAAATTTAACACAAAACAAATGTGGTAAAAAGTAACACGCATAATATGGAAAAAATTAACACAATTTAACACTTGAATACCGTTAGGAATTACAGGTTGTGTTAAATTGACATATTTAATATGTCAGACATAGATTATGTCAATTTAACATTTTCATTTCATCAAAACCGTAGATTAATACTTCTCTCAAAAGTTAAAGTAACGTTTTATTTTAGTTAATTTAACATTATACATATGTCAATTTAACACAAACTGTGACTCCTGACGGTATTCAAGTGTTAAATTCTTGTGTTAATATTATGCGTGTTACTTTTTACCACATTTGTTTTGTGTTAAATTTACACATAAATGAAAGTGGATGATTTGGGACACATGAAATGTTAAATTTAACACATCAGTTTTTACAGTTCAACACTCGAGTTATTAAAACAATGTATGGTGTATTAGTTTAGTGATATTGTTTGAATTATAAAATTGATATTGAATTATAAATAATGATATTGTTGAATTATAAAAAGATTTATTCTATTTATGACGCTGTTGACTAATTCTGACGATACATTTTTCCTGGGTATATTCCGAGTGGCTTAGAAAACAGATGGATAGGCAGATTTACTTAATCTTGGCGTAGAAACCTTCCCGGTATATAAAAAGAATAGTATATAAAAATGAAAGTAGAAAATAGCAACTATTTCTGAATATTTTATCGTACATATACTAAAACGTTATCCGTTTTTAGCAGTAAATATTTCTTGCGGTAGTGCCTGAATTTAAATAATTTGATGGTTTGAGCTTTGCTCAAACCTCAGCAACAATATTAGCTGTTCCGATTTCAAAACAATATGTTAGACAGGTATCGATAATCGTTACTCGAAACTTACCTCAGACGAGATACTTAGATATAAATTTACAATTTGACGTGAATTTTCAGTTGAATCGTGATTATAAATGTAATATCGCATATATTATTATCGCACTTACAGATATAAATGTTACGTGTATCATAATTCAACTGGAAGAAACTTGAATCTGACTCTGAATAAAAATGTAAGCGTCTCGCATGAAACAAGTGGCAATTTTTAATACGAGCCTGAATTCGGTATCTCACGTGGGACAAGTTTCAAGTAACGTCTATTAATTACGAGTTTCGGCTTGTCATGATCACATCTCAGCTCTTTCTGCTGATTCTTTACCCGCGCGCGTGCGAAAGGACCGATTGATCTTCCTTTGCTGTCACTTTTTCACACGAACCCCTTTTTGCTCTCTCGTGGGCCTTGTTCACGTTTTGCTCGGGCGAATTTCAACACGGTCGTTTCCGTTTTTGGCCAGGATATACAGCGTGCGACTCGAGCGCGTAGCGTTGCGCGAACTTTTATGTAATCTTCCTCGCCTCGTTCTCCCTCTTCTCTTCCTCCGGAGTCGAGCTCTTTGCATCGCGTGTGATTGCCGCGCGACGCGAGGTGCATAATTGATCGTAAGCATTGTTCGATGACGGCGGAATGCGACGTGTGATTGAGCAATCGTATTGTCCCGTCGCGTTTCTGCATGCGTGGCGTATCTGCAGGCAGTTCGAGACACCCTCTCGGACGTGTGGCATAGATTAAACTTTCTTTACCCGCGGTCGCGTCGTGAGATCAGATTGACTTTCTATCGAGCTTGGCTCTAACTCAATCGTATAAAATGCCCCACGGACGTGCGCGCATACGTGATTATGCCCGGCGTTCGCGTAGCGTTCTCTCGCGGAGGGAAATTACCGCAATAGACATCTAAAAGACGTCTCAAGGACGTGTAAAGGATTGCGGGGCCCTTAAGCTTCGGCTCCGGAAAGAAAATGAGGAGAGAGACCCAGCGGGAGTATAATCAAGCGAGGCACAATGTAACTTTAACAAATTGACGTTTCTAGGCAAGATTATTGCGCGAGATCTGCTCGCAGTCGAGAACCCGGGAATGTTTTCGCGTGCAGCTTCGTTAATTTTCGCGTGGATGAAATTACGAAGGGGGAATTGGTCCGAAATTAAGATCCAGATTGAAACTACATGATATCGATGAAATCTGTGCCGAAAGGTTCTCGGATTTTGCATAAAATTATAATAATTTTTATAGTTATAATAATTATGGATGAAATGAAAAGGGAGGTATTGGTTTGAAATCATGATCCTGACAGAAATTAAGTAATATCGATGAAATCAACATTGGAAAGTGTCTTACAATTTGCATAAGGTTTCGTAAATTTTTGTATGGGTGAAATTACGGGAGGGGGGAATCGGTCTGAAATTAAAAAAAAGATCCAGATTGAAATTAGATAATATCCAAATAATATCAAATAGTGCTGTGAGATGTCCCTCAAATTTTGCGAGAAGTTTTGTAAATTTTTGCATGAAATTACGAAAGGGAAATCGGTCTGCAATGAAGACCGAATTTGATATTGAATAATATCGATCAAATGAGTATTAAAAGGAATTTTTCAGACTTCGCATGGGTGAAATTACGAAGGAAAAATCAGCCTGAAATGAAGATTCAGATTGAAATAAAATAATCAAATCTCAGCATTGTGAGAGGCGTCTCTCAGTTTTTGTATAAAGTTTTGTATAAAAGAGGTCTCTCATTTTTGTCGTCTAGGCGCTTATAAGAAATATCCAGCAACGGATCTGCGTGTCCGTGGCTGTCTCATTTATCCGCGGTACTTTCGTTAGAGAGAACTTTCCGTAGTGCAACGCTTGACCGCACCTCGCGGCTTAGCAGCGACATAATTAGCCACGTGAAAGTACACCATTTCCATACATGAATATCAGTTTGTCACGCGATGTTTCGGTGATGTATTCCGCACGGCGTTAGCGTTCTCTAGAACTACTTCCGCGCGACTTTCTTCGGCCGGGAATCCGTGGCGGCAAAAATCACACTGAATCGTCGGGCGAGAAGCGACTTGTCCAAATCCAGGAACATGTGAAATTCGTGTCGTTCTTGCGGAACAGCAGCAAGGAGTGACCCATTTCTCCGCGAAAAATTTTTCGCGACAATCGTTCGTTATTCAATCGTCATTCAATATTCTTAGTATTGTATTGCTCAGTGTGATACAAAAGAAAAGTTGCACACTGCGTTCTCCTCGATCTCGCGATAACGATCGTTGCTCAATTATCACGTTCAAGGCTTGCATCGCGCAGCGATCAACAACTCGACACAATTGTCGTCGTCGTCGGCTGAGTCGCAAATCGCATTAATTCCGCGATGGACTGCGGCGTTACCGTCGAGCAATAATCGCGTGAGTTGTTTCTCGTCATTTAACGATCCGATCAACGAAATGGATCTCTCTCGCGGCGCGCACGCCTGGGTTATGAAATGGGAATTCGTCCGAATGAATCACGCGCCGGGAAAATCGTTTTCCCACGCGGCTCGCGCCACACCTGCGATGTGTTATCGCTCGACCGTGACGTGTTCGGCAATCTGTCAACTGCGAAACGCGGAGGACGCTCACCGTTTCTGGCACGTGGGCTCCAGGTTGACGGTTGTTCTCGTGTACACGGCTGCGGCGGATTGGCGGCACCCCGGAGGAGTCCCGGAGTCGCGTTCGCGAAAACTTGTCACTGTCTAGGTGTAGCACCCCGGCCGAGTCCTCGCTGAGAGCAGCTCCGTTTCCCCGCTATCTTTCTCGCTGCCCGCTGTCACGCACTTGACCACGTGGTTGCGTTCACGTGCTCTACGTGTCTGCGAAAGGCAAAAGTTGGCGCGAGCCGCGCGCGCGCCACCGCGGCTTTCGTCGGACTGCGTGCGGCTCCTGCTCGCGCTCCGGTCTCCGCGCTGATCCCGCTACCACCACCACCAGCACCATCAACATCCGTAGTACCACCACCACCATCATCATCTCACCACTACCACCGCCAATACTAACGTCACCCACCCACCCAGCCAGCACGAGCGGAACCGCCGCCGCCGCCGCCACCACCACGTCGACATTGTCCTCGTCCTTCTCGCCAACCTACATCGACTCGTCTTTGTTCCACGAGCTCGCGGCGTTTCGGCAAGCGCCCCGAGCTTGCGACGATTCTCTCCACTCTCTGGACTGCACTGCATCCACCACCACCCGCCGTCGCCGTCGCTCGTGGCTTTCAATCCCCCTTCGATCGTGCACTTTGACCATTTGCGCAGGAAGATATAGCGATTGTTCCTGGTACGCTTATCATTTCTCCGTGCGCTCGCTGCGCGAACAGAGAGTAGGTTAATCGCTCACCGTATCGACCTTTAAGTCCGTCTCGCAGTGTAATTCGCGCCCCTTGGTTTCTAGGTGTTTAATTCCATACATGTTATATCAGAGTGATATCCCTTCAAAGAGCCTCTTTGGAGATCTATCAGGTGTTTTCTCACATGATAAATGGATCAAACGCGGACGATAGCGCCTCAATTTTCAGTCGATTACTTTTGGATAGGTTCTAATTGATTAATGATGAATCAATGATGATTGATGATAAGGACGAACTGAATTTTGGCTTGGAAAATAGAAAATGTAATTCTGCATGCATATTTGAAATATTTCGTGTATTTTGGAATGGAAATCTCGTTTGGACGAATTATAAGTGGAATTTCGCCCCAAAAGTATAGAGCACTTGGGAAGGGAATTGTTTTAAAAAATCGCTCAAAGAAGAGCGTTGCGTTGAGCTTCTTTCTGTAACCGCATCGACAGGCATGACACGTTATATCTTCGGGGTAGCTACTTTAGATGTCACCGAGTGACTCACACGAGTCGGATTAGTTGCGTCATATATTTCCAGTCGCAAACACAATTCGACAATAATATATTACACCTAATAGAATTAACAACGTAACGCAGCTTGCGTAACATCAAGTGGCATTCCAAGAAGGATATTTTGATAAATGTCATGTCAGTGTGTGTTTATTAAAACGCAACGGCTCTCCTCAAGCGTCAATTATAATACTAGTTGCCAGCGATTTACAATTACGGCACGTGTTACATAAGTATCGGAGTAGAATAGATAAATATCCTAAGAAGGAAGAGAGAGAGAAAGAGGAAAATAATGAGAAATAGAGATGGAAGTATCTTGACCACATAATATGACCTTTGCAATCGAGACGCGATTCACTCTTGCACTATCGGCTATTAGAGTCGCATTGCGAACGCTCAAGCGATCAATAATATAATATCTTCGCCCTAAGGGCGATAATAGCTCGATCTATCCAAAGAGAAATCACCACACGACGATAAAACGACGTGTAATTTACTCTTTAAATCTCTAGAAGTGAAATTTCACTCGAAAAGCAGTCACTCGTATACGAGTGATTTTTCACTCACCCAGAGTGAATTCTCTACTCTAAATCGTTGAATAAGTATTTTCAAAGTGAAGAGTGAATCGAAATAAGTATTTTCAAAGTGAAGAGTGAATCGAATTTACTCTATTGTCATAGGAACATTCTAATCGATAGTTGTCCATAATAATAATTTAAATTCTGAATGAATTTGTGCAAATAAAATTCATCCAAAATTTTTCAAAATTTTTTTTGAATAAAATTGCACTTGAAAAGTGGTATGATAATCAAATCATAGAATTTTCAATGATTTTTTATTTGTGGTAATTCACACAGTGAATTTGTGGTAAAATCACACAGAGTGAATTTTTCACTCTGAATTGTCAAGTGAATATTTTCACTCTGAATTGAAGAATAAATCGGATGCAATTCATTGTCACAGGAAACTTGCTCACTCTAATAAATATTTGTCCATAACGATAGTTTAAATTTTTCTAAATTGTTTAGAATAAAATTTAATTAAAAAATTTCTCAAAATTCTTTAATTTTAAAAATCTCTTGAGATAAAAGTTCACTGGAAAGGTGATAACCAAGTCATACAATTTCCCATATTTTTACGCTTATGATTTCTGATTTGTGAGTGAAAAATCTACTCAGTGAATTCTTCACTCTGAGTCGTCGAGTATTCCCACTCGAAAGTGACGAGTGAATTTAATGTACTTCACCGTCCCAGGAACTTGTTCACTCTAATCGATTGAAACATTCGTCCACGCGAACCGTCAGAATCCACTCTAAGCTTGAGCGAAACATTCACTTTTGCGATTTCGCGTTTGCAGTATTTTCACCGTCGCTTCGAATGAAAATTCTGCCACTTTTCAGTCGGCTTTAGCGCGATTACACCCGAAGAGATTTCGAGGGCAGCGATAAGACGGATAACTCGATGGATCCCGGAGCTCCATCGCGCTTGAGTTTGATACGTAACTTATAGTACAAAGCGAATTAATAATGCGTTAACCGCGACCACCGCGCGCTCATACGCGTCCAACGAGGATTGAGATATTCCGCGGGTACACAGGAGCAAGTAAAATTTTAAGTGACTCGATTAAGCCTTGTCGCGGTTAATTTACGACGTCGTTACTTCACGCCGACTAATACGGAAATAATAAATCCCGCGCAATGTGTCGTAATCGCGCAACGCGTTTCTGCCTCGTTCGTCGTTAATTTCACGGAAAAAAAGGAGTTCCTCCACACTCGCGTGCGCTCTGCTCCGCTTCACGGACTGAGAGATTCATGTAGGACGCGGGAATCAATTCCGAACGATTCGTTCGTGTCGACTTTTTCCGTCCGAGTCATCATACGTGCGTGCGTGCGTGCGTGCGTGCACGCTTTCGAGCTGATCTACAGGTTATTAAAAATTGAGAATATTGCGTGAGACACAACTAGAAAACAAGAAACGCGTGCTTTCACTCACATCCGCTCGCTTTCCGTGGTTCTTACCGCGTTTCGAAAAAATTGCCGCGCTTCCGCGTCCTTCGCGCCGAAAAGAACAGCTGGGCGACTTTTTCGGGCCATCTCTCTCTGTATCTCTCTCTCTCTTTCCCTGTCTCTCTGTCTCTCCTTCTCTCGGTCCGGAGATTTCGTCCTCGTAAAACTACAATTGGTACCTCGTCCGTGCGCGATTGGCCATCGGCCATCGAGAATAATGGAGCAGTTGGCGAGAGCCGATATATAAGGGGAACCGAGCGAGGAGCTCGGGCCTCGGTCTCTCTGTCGTATTCGAGGTGCCCCGGGGCGAAAACGGCCACGGCCGACAACATCGTTCCAGAATGCCTCGGGCACTTCCAAACCCACCGGACGATGTTGCTCGCATACGTAAACGCCAACTTCGTCAGGGACAAAGTGACGCTCGGTATACGTTGATCCGACCGGACCGTGCGAGGCGAGGCGGCGCGGGAACGGGGCGAGAGAGCGACTTTGCCATTTCGAGACTCATTTTAACGTTCCGCCTGGGTCACGCGCGCGTTCGCGGCTCGTTGTTCCGCTCGCCATCGGGTTTAGGCGTGTGCCCGCCAGGCAATTACGGGACGTCCCGAATTATCGGGGACGGCGCGATTCCCCGCTTGTGGAAAACGCGAGAGGCGCCTATTCGAATCTTCCTTCCTTCCTTCCTTCCTTCTTTTTCTCTCTCTCTCTCCCTCTTCCTCCCTTTCTCTCTTTTTCTTTCTTTCTTCCGCAAAGAAAATTTCTTGGAACTCAATTGGGATCCCAAGTCCGTCTACCCAAAACAATTATGGGTTCTTGTTAAAAGTAATGTTTCTACGTGAGAAACCTCAACTTTCCCATACTTAACTCAAATTTTCAATATTTTCCCTGGTCTTCATTTTGCATTATTTTTATGAGAAATTTCTTAGATCTCCAAATTGGAATCCAGATTTCCAAAAATAATTAGTTCCTCAAAATAATGAGTTCTTTAGTTTAGAAGTGTAATATTTCAAACATGCGATTCTACAAGTGGGAAACTCAAAGTTTTCCCTGTTTTTTTTTTTTATCTCCGTTTCATATTAGGATTGAACAAGACATATGTTAACTCTTTTAATAATTTTATTATTCAATAAAATATTCAGAGTATTTTAAAAATATCTCATTTCTCGGACTTTTTATTCTATCAGACAATAGTTGGTATCATAAAAGTATACCGTGTAAAGAAAAAACGCGAATTTCTATTCTAGACAGATTCTAGACAGAGAACTCATATTTGGAATAAGAATGGGATCCCCAATTGGAACTATAGTCAGTATTGATTATCAATTTGAGAACAAATTTAGGCAATTAGTTGGAATGTCCATTCTATATCACGGAAAATTTTGACAAATTTCTACGCGGGTTGTTTCCTTTCTGCGCACGATGCGATAGTTGCAATTGTGTGTTACGTTCTGCTTTGACGAATTAGAAATTTTCAAGATAGCCAGTTATTCCTCGGGAAACAAGCGGAAACGATTTCATCCGCTTGCCATGAATAACGTGTGGGGATGATATGGGGCGATTTTTTAACGTCCCCGCTTCGTTGATTTCGCCGATTGCTCAAATGGACGGGGAACAACGTGTACTAAGGGAAGATGATACGCGAGAGGCGAGATTTTTCTACCATGATCGATAATATTACCTGTGTTTCACGTGTTTCGAGCATTAGAAGGCGAACGTGGATGCCCGACCCGCGAGGATATCCGCCGCCTGAGCGTAATAGATAGATAGACCGATCGATCTTCCGGCGAGCAACATGTCGTTCCGCGGTGGACTTCAGCGTGACGAAGAAAAAGCAGTCACTTATGACGCTGCACTTAGCTTTCACTCCTCGTCACGCGTCCGGCGAACGGTTGATTCGATGTCATTAGCTTTTTCCGATTAGCTCGAGGGAAGCTCAGGCGCTCATTTTCTCGTGTCGCGACGTCGTTGTGCGCAAAATTTTGTATGGTCGAGCATATTAATTTGCACCTGAC